ACAAAGCTTTTACAGCATTTTTCAGAGTATATAAATCAAAGAAAATAACTTTTCCATCGCGGTACTGTAAAGGAGCAGCGTCCAACAAAGTACAATTTTCATTTATGTTTCATTTTTTTTTTTTTTAATATTCCCTGCTTCTTTTTGTAAACCCAATTTAAAGCCCTTTTTTATGAATGTTTGATTCTCGACTATTACATTGCACGCTGTCATCGTTGTTAGCGTTTTTCTGCTGGCTTTCAAAACACACACACCCACAGGCATACGCATATATACATTGCCATATAATACCATTTTTCTTTTCGCTTCTTTTTGAAACCGCTATTTTGTTGGCATTAATGGCGCGCACTTAACTGGGTCGCCGCTTGTCATCGTCGACATACAACATAATTAAATGACTGTGAGTGGTTGCTCTGCGGTGGTGTGGGTGTTAGTGTTGATCTTTGTGCTGCCCTCATCAACATTTATGCAAACACACAAACACACACTTATGCATACATGAATATATAAAAGCGTGGCATACTCGGGCTACGTTGGAGGGTCTCATGTGCTCAGCGTGTGGCATGTGGCATGTGATTTACTCGCTATTTGAACGCTTAAAGGCTTAAGCAAGTCATATAATTTCACTTTGTAAACTTTTAATGGCTGCTCTTGCTGACACATCACAATTTGTGCCACCACTTTTGATGGGTCAAGTAATTTAGTGTAAGACCCACGTAAAGCTTAAGAATGCGAAAGTTTTATGCATCGACGGCGTACAGTAATCACTTATAATGCAGAAATTAGAGAGAGATTTCGGTCGAGTGTGGAACTGGAAATTGCACGTCATGCTGAGAAGTGACTGAAAATAACAAGTACAGATGCTGTTGTTGTATATACACATATGAGTGTATGAAATATATAAGTATTCTATTAATATATAATATTTTATATATGAACGAGCCTGCAGGCGGCCTATGTTTGCTGATTTATAAAAAGAATTATTTTTCCTTGAAGTACTGTAGTAAAGCAGAGTTTTGGAAAAATTAGTTGTGAAAAACATTCAAATATCTCTTTTATACTAATTTGAGATAAATTTACCAGTAATCGAAGAGAGAGAGCTCAGTCATATCAACTTACCATACCAAGTAGACAATTAATTGCATAAGAAGAACGTAAAGACATATCAATGTAATTTGGGGATTTTCAGAATCTAGCCATCCAGTCCTAGGAATTGTCGCTGAATTCCTCCCGAGTACCTCAGACTCCTCAAGATATACCCTTCCGCTCCAATTTGTTCGTTCACTCATGCTTGTCTATGCTCCTACAGAATGGAGAGAGACAGCTGTTGCCTTTATGAAAGTTTAGCTTCGTCTTATACTGTCTCAAGGTGCTAGAACTAATAATAATACTGAAAAGGAATATACTATCGAAGATGGTTCCATATTCAAAGTGTTTGACAATCCATAGTTCGAACTCTCTAAGCCTCTTTGGTGACATAGTGGTTACTTGACACAGATTAAAGTCTAATTGCATAAGTGTAGGTTCTTTTTTGGCTTATGAGCATTAATTTAGATTCGGTCATAGAACACACTCTTCATCTAAATATTCAGCGAGAAATTTTGTGGCAGCTTTTATTACTTACTTCTATATAATTTTTCACCAGCCTTCATAATTCTTTAGATGTATCTTGGATTAGTGTGCCTCTGTTTGGCTAGTCTTCTTCTTAATTAAAAAAAAATAATAATTAAAAAAAAATTCGATTAATATTTTTTAAGCCTATTAAAGGACAAATTACTAAATAGTCTGTATCAAATCGAATTTGTATGGCACTGTTGAGAAGTAACGGCCAAATACGCCTATCTTCCACTCAACTCACGAATATCCAATTAAGAATACGAAAATATTTATGTACACCAAATCCACCACCAATGCTACAACAAACGCTTATCCCAAAATTTATGCGCCATAACTTCGCCTTAATTACTTCGCAGGCAATACAGATTTTAGAATTTTAGGCTATTTGTAACTCAACCCTTAAACGGCAGTGGATTAGCATAAATAATTGGCTGAAGTCAGTGAGTAATAGGTGTTATTAAAGGAAAAAAAAACAACAAAAACAAGAAAAAAAAATTTTGCAAATAAATAAATCTAAGCGCTCATCGCGCAAACAAAATAGAAAGCTTTAAACTAGCTGAGAGTATAGCGAAGGAGCTGAGGAATATACATATGTATACATGTATACTAGCATATACGCTGAGTTGTACACCCGGGCGTATAAGTGATCAAAACAAATGCCATTTTCGCATAAACACGTCGGGAAAATGTAATGAAAATGGAAATGCAAAACTAATGGTCAAGGTTTCCACAAAAGCAATGCTTTTCATAAACACATATATATGTGGCAGTGTCTAGTAAGCAATAGAAACACTCAAGGCGTGGAAAATCACAGGAAAAGTAAAGCGTAAAGCAATAAATATCTATCAAACGCGCTTCAAACTTCGTAAAGACGAAATTGCCAAAGACGCAAAAAGCAATACGTTTTTTGCCCCTCTAAATGTATTTGATTGATTTGTTGATTTGCGAGGGTATTAAGCTGCGGGTGTGTATGTGTGTGTGTGTGAATCTGTGCATATGTAAATGGTGCTTTGGCTTACAAAGCTTTCCTGAATAATGAATAGGGGCAAGTAAACCAATAAATCAATAAGGACATGAGCGTGACGTGTTGTTGTTGCTGAATTGCGTAAAAATAAATAACAGTGATTAAAATAACAAATACAATTGAGAAAAGGGAAATCGAGTAAAGTTGTGAGTTTGCAGTCATGCCCACTTTTTCTATGAAATGACCATGGAAATCCGGTATAAAATTCAGTTTTTTTTTTTATTTTTATATTTTAATATAGACAAGCATTTTTGTTTACACAGCAGCTACGCAAATATTTACTCGAAATGACGCCTGTAAATTCATTAATATTTTATTAAATATCTGCTGTGGTAGACGAGGTCGGCTTTGTTTATGGTAGTGAATATTAACATTTATAAATTTCGTTTTATACGCCTCTTTATTATGTATGAAAACTATTTGATTGAAGAAAACGACAAAACTGTTAAATAAATATTATGAATAAATAATTTAATGGCTACTTTTGATGAGTTCTTCCATATAAACGAAATTAGAATACAAATATTTGAGCCATTAGCAATATGATATTGCTATATATTTATTATTGTGCTATTGCAAGAATTAATTAAGAGTTTAAATTTTTTTTAAATGTTTAGAATATACCCAATTTCCTATGTAGGCAAAAAATATTATAAAAAGTCGGTTTGTAAATACCTAATAATTAAAAACAAAAACAGCTACATTTTGTACGTCTGCTCGAACTCTTCAAAAAAAAGGTTGGTTAAACTTCTAAATTCTTACCGTAAATATAATGCCGGAATTTAAAGCATATTCAGCAACTTATTAAATCGATTACTAAGGTGACAGCTGCAAGTTTAGCCATTTAAAATGTTAGATTTTCTATTGCCCAAAAATTTAGTAGCATGCTAAAATGCTTCTAAATAAATGGCAGGCTAAGTTTTACAAATTACGAAGAGTTGGAAATATATTGCGTAACAAGAGCATTTACTTTCATGTTATTTCAAAACTTTGGCAAACCAACCACTACCGGAGAAAAAAGCCGTCACAAGTTAAATATTTGTGTGTTTGCACTTAACGAAGAAATCGGATTCGTGATAAATTATTATATTAGCTTTGAAGGCAATAACTTCAAAATAAAGTTTATAAAATAAGATTCTATTAGTTAAGAATTTGAGAAATTATGATTTTCGAAAATTTTTTAATCCGATTTCATAGAAGGTTTCTCTAATAATTTTATTCACATACCAAAACTGCGTAATTCATTTTCGTCCGTAAACAAGAAGGTCATACTTCCAGGCAAATATTTGGCGCTTGCGTCAAAAAAATTCTTCCACAAATTATTAAAAGACAGGTACTTGAACACACTATAAATATCTGTGCTAAAAATGTTTAGATTATGAATTTTTAAATAAGTGGCAACTCTGTTTCCGAAATATTCCTACGTAAACTTGATGCTTTCTGTTGAAATCCATATTATAGTATTTGAAAAGTGAAAGGAATTGTTAATTTTAATATTTCATGCATCAATAAGGTGGCAACTCTGTTCGCAAATTTTTCCTCGAATAAAGTTCTTTTGCATTCTGTTGGTATCCATACTGTAGTATTTAAAGTGAAATTATTTGTATATTTTTAACATTTTACATACTAATAAGGTGGCCACTCTGTTCCTAAAATATTGCTAGTTAGAGATTTTTGCTTTCTATTAGATTCCAAATTATTATATTTGAAGTGTAATTTGTAAATTTGTAACATTTTATATATCTGTAAGGTGGCAACTCTAGTCAAGTTATATCTATTGATTTAGCAGTTCTTAGTTACCATATTCATTATTATCATATGGAAGTAATTTGTAAATTTTTAATATTTTATATATTATATTAATAAGGTGGCAACCTGGTCAAATTATTTCTGTTGATCTAGAAGTCCTTAGATATGTACTGTATGTCATATATCTATTATCATATAGAAGTAAATTGCTTTTTTCAAATAGGTGGCAACTATGTCAACAATATCAAAACTTTACACATATACTCTCCGGTTTCTGCCTAACCTATTCTGAAAATATGACGAGACATATCTACAAATATAAATGCATCTATTACTACATACATACATATATACCATATACATAGATATGTAGATATACATACGTATAGAATATGCATAAACATTTGCATATATGCCAACCTACACAAATATATATTCCAGTATTAGAAAAACTCTGCTTAAAAATAGTTTCCATCACTCATCAATAGTATTGCTATAAAAACTATTTTTGTCATCTGACTCAAATCCCTTAATCTGCATCATTAACACTACACTAGCAACAACACGTTGAACTGGAATTTTCACGGTTATTTTTATGCTTGTTTTCCAGGAGCTGGTTGCCATCTCGCCGGAACGACGTAATTGGCGCGGCATATTTATAGCCTTGCTGGTAATAGCAGCAGTCTTCAGTCTCATAATTTTCTCAATTTTCCTACTGTCGCCAGGTAAGTGACACAAATGATATGCAAAAGCAGCAACATGCACGAATAACTGTAAATATACGTATATAGATGATACCTATGACTAGCTATGTAATTGTAAATATGCGTTAAGTGAAAATGGTATTCAGTAATGGCAGAATGTGCAATTTCCCCAAAGACATTAAAATTATTTGACGCATTAGAACAAAGTGAAAAGTTTTCACACATACAAACAAACATATGCATACGTATGTGTGTTAATGCCGTTTGGAGTTAACATTTCCATGCGTATTTTGCGTGCTGTTGCCATTTGTGACTACGCGCATTTGCAACACACCTTTTCGGTAGAATTTGAACTCCACCCCTCCTCTTCCCCTGCACACTTTCATTAATTTGCCTCATTTAATTTCCATCTAATTTACATGCGCTTACAGAGGATGAAGGGTTGCGCATACGCGGCCGTCACATGGTGCTGCCTGACATTTTAGGCAAAAGTTTGCAGTGGAAGCCCTTCAACGGCACTTGGAGTAGCGGTAAGTGTACCTGTGTATGTGGGTTATCCACTTTTTTATTACTTCCGTTCTTAATCGCAACGTTCTTTTTATTTATTTTCTATTTTGCAGACATTGAACTAATATACCGTGACCCCACGGGCGGCTTATCGATATTAAATCTAGACAATTACACAACGAGGGTCCTAATGACCAACTCGACATTCGTAAGTATTGACTTTGTAGTAACATTGAAAACAGTTTTTTCCCTTTTTTCTCCATTCCTATTTTCTTCTGCTTCTTTCCACAGCGCCAACTGAATGCTGAATCGTTTCTTGTATCGCCCGATCAGAAGTATGTGCTACTGCAGTCCGACAGCAATGCGGAAGGCTCGAGGTGTGTATAAAATTTATTAGCGATTATATTTACACTTTATTTTACACACAACAAAATATTGTTTGTCGGAAGCTCATTTCTTTTGTAGTTTTTACGCTAAACAAATACATCATTATTTACATCGCAAGTGGGCGTCGGAAACACAAAGGCTAATTCTGCTATTTACCTATAATGTTTCTATGTGTGTGGCACTCCACGGCTAAACGGTAAAGAATAGCACACACAATTCTTTTATCTAACATTTAAAGTTAATCCATATTGCTCCATTGGAGACCCTATAAAATATATACAGTGATCAGCATGATGATCTAATTAAGCCATGTCGGTCTGTCTGTTCGTCTGTCTGTATATATGCAAACTAGTCCGCCAGTTTCTAAGCTAACGATCTGAAATTTCGCACCTGTCCTTGTCTCACTAAGAAGCTGCTCATTTGTCGGAACGGCCGATATCGGATCATTATAGCATATAGCTGCCATACAAACTGAATAATCGGAATCAAGTACTTGTATGAGAAACTTTTTTATTTGACGAGGTATCTGCACGAAATTTGGCATAAGTTATTTCCTAAGGCAACAATGTATTCTCCGCTGAAATTGTTCAGATCAGATCACTATATCATATAGCTGCCATACAAATTAAACGATCGGAATCATGTTCTATACAAATACAAAAGGCTACATTGTATTTGTAAAACGTGTTATAGCTTCGATGCCGAAGTTAACGTTTATTCTTGTTTGTTTATAATTTGTGTGAGAAGTTGTGAAATCGGTTCAAAAATGACTTCAGCCACTATATACTACATATAATGATTTCATTACTCTAGTGAACTATATGACAAATATATATATAAAGTTGGATAAAAATATACTGACAGAAGTGCCAGACCTTGGTCTACCCCAAAATACCCAATTTGAAGATTTTCGCTGCTCTTTTCGATTTTTTTGTCGAATAAATGAGTAAATATGAGCAACGTTTTTAGGATGTTAAGTGAATATGTTAACGTATAAATAATCAAACCAGACAAATAATTTAAAAACTCGTAAAATTTAATCATTATGGTTGATCATAAGCCATTCACAGTTTCGGAAAGATTTTTTCCGACAACTGAAAACACTTCTCCAGCTATACTTATATATACTGTTCAACTACACGCGCTCTTAGTTAGCCTTTGCCTACTCATTTTTTAATTTTTACCCCACAATATTCAAAAATTATGGAATCCACCATAAACTCGCCTATGCATGTAAATGATCAATGATACATAGTTTGCACAACAAATGATTCAGGAAATGGCAATTTCTTGCTGCTAAATATTGTATCACGAAAGCGTGAGCCACATGGCGTATGATAAACATTTGCACAGATGCGGAGATAAAGAAACAAAATTTTATGACAACGTTAATATTTTTTGCGTTTAATTGCCGTATGAGTCGAAACAACAGAAACAATACATACAAACATATATACATATATTCATAAATATTTACATTACGCGAGTGAAATCATTGACCCACAAGCACACATACAACAACCACAACTTAAAAGCAGATGCGAAATACCTCAATATTTTAATTATTAACATTTCGCCGGAATTATTTTTAATACCTTAATTTTCTACTTGCACCAAAAACAACACGCAGACATCACGTTTACGAGGTACAAACAGCAAACACCTTCCCGTTGGGTCCAACGGAGAACATAGCAGAACCGCCGCGCCTGCAATATGTGACATGGGCGCCCAACGTCCCACCCGCGGCAACCACAACAAGCACCACCACCACCACAACAACAGCAACCAGCACAACAACTACAACGCGAGCGCCAACCAACACAACAACATATGCGGCACGTACAGCGGCCAGCGCTGCGACAGCGAATGCCGTGAATGCCTCGAGTGGTGGCAGCATCTTGCTGAGCAGTTTGGCGGGTGCAGCGACCGGTGGCGGTGTGGGCAAGCCGCCGCCGAGTAATTTCCAATATCCAAATGGCGGCGCGGTAAAAGCGTTTCCACAAAATCAGGCAATCGCCTTTGTGTACGAGAACGACATCTACTACAAGCCGAAGGTTCAAGGCGAGCTAGTGTGTCGCATTACAACAACAGGTGAGTGAGTTAGTGTATGTGGGTGGCACAACAACTATTCACTGTTAGTTTTTTACTATTCAAATATTTTAAACGAAACTCAGCTTTCTACATCCATATTTTTTCATCATTCATTCTTTTCTTATTCTTCTTATTCTGTCATTCATGTGGGTGTATGCTGCTGCTTTATCTACTTATGTGTATGTCTGTTTATGTTTGCCGGCATCAGGTCGCGCTGGCATCGTCTACAATGGCATCCCGGATTGGACGTATGAGAACGTGCCGGAGCTGAATGGGCGCAGCAGCGGTCTCGCCTTCTCACCGGATGGTCTATTTTTAGCGTTTCTCACATTCAACGACAGCGATGTGAATGAATACAAGTGAGTACCGTTATGAATATTTAAAACTCTATTAGCTTTTTATGGCAAAATTTTCTTACACCCCAGACTCCGTACCTCGGGTTCCAATGCCATGGTAACTAATCTAAGGGCGGAAAATCTTTCTAGTAGAATCAAAGAAATGGTTGACGCTATTGAAACTCTCTTCAAAAGGCAAAGTCCTAACAAAAAGAGATGTAGTGCGTAGACAAACCACAAACAAAATTTTCGAAGCTTCGATGAAGCTCCTCCTAGTACTAATATTTAGCATCCATATTGCTTAATGATTACAAACCTTCTAAAATTCGAGGGGTACTAATTGCAGGAATCCCGCGGTAATGCCTCCACCTCATTTCCAATTTATTCCAAAATATTGCATTATCAAACATATGCTTTTAACCTCTTTTGACACAATATTTGCTTTTTTTTATTCCGCCTTCCTCCCCGATCCATAGATACACCTGGATGGGCGACGACATCAAGTACCCTGCTGTGCTAACACAACGCTACCCCAAGGCAGGCGAAATCAACCCGAATGTCACCGTGAATGTGGTAAACCTCTCCGTCCTCAAATATATCTTCCCCACACAAATCAAACTTCCAGCCGATTTATCGAATGGTAGCTACATTGGCGCGCTAACTTGGGCCACACCCATCGACCTATCCGTGACGATTACCAATCGTGGTCAAACTAAGGCGACAACGGTGGTTTGCCGCGCACCGGACTTCCATTGCCATCCCGTGCACACAGAGGTAACAGTTAACGATGGCTGGGTGTTACCAGCCGAGCGTCCCATATTTTCTGTACACAATAGCGTAAATCTCAAACGAAACCAACAACAATTGCTTGTCAATGGGCTTAATGGCAACAACAGCTACCACAATGTGAGCAACGGTCAGACCACTTATGAGATCTCACATGGCGGCTATCTGCTCAAGCGTCTTCCGGTGCGTGATGGTGAACACGGACATTTCCGACATGTGGTTTTCATCTCCTCGTTGGATCGCCGACCAGTGCCACTCACAATGGGACGCTTCGAAGTCACCGAGCTTTTGGGTTGGGATGAAGCTCATGAGATTGTCTACTTTATGGCGGCGCCCGAGAAACGTCCGGGTGAACGGCACCTCTATAAGATCAGTCTCAAATTAAATGAGACGCAGAGCAATCGCGCGTATATAACTTCAACACAGCCGACATGCTTGACCTGCGACAACACCATATCCACTTTTCGTCTATCTGCACAGGGTATACTTGTAGAGGACGCTGATAACCGCAGCGATGACGAAACTGAGTGTTACTATGATATACCAAAGAACTGTCTTTACAATAAAATCTACTTCAGCAAAGACTACTCGCACTATGTGCAAGAGTGCCTGGGACCGGAGTCACCCAGCGTCTACATGGTGGAGACACAGAGCAACATGAAGACATATATACTTAACGCGGGTCACAGCTTGCGATACCGTTTGCAGCAGCTCGCCTTGCCACAAATACGTACGTTCAGCGTAGAGATACGGCACGGCTTCCACGCGCAAGTCCGTCTCTACCTGCCGCCAGGAATGCGAGAGGACGAAGAGGTCGCCTTTCCGCTCATACTGCACATGTAAGTAGGAGTGTCGAGTTTAGTTTATAACTTTAGAACTCACGGCGGCAGCAATGAAACTAAAATACCTGCGTTATCCTGTTTAATTACAGCAACGCGGCACCGGGTTCACAGCTGGTCACCGAAAAGTATCAAGTGGATTGGAACTGGTATTTGAGCAGTCAACGCTCCATGATTGTGGCGCAAATTGATGGACGTGGCAGCGGATTTCAGGGCGAGCTCCTGCGCACACAGGTGCACGGCAAGCTAGGCACCGTCGAAGTGGAAGATCAACTGGGCGTATTAACGTAAGCATTGAACACTAATATCACACACGCACGTGTGCGCCGACAGTCATAAACTTGCGCGTACACACTTTAGTAACTCTAAAAGACACTGACCTCAAACTTTGAACCCAGTAAACTTGTGTAAACTCATTAAATGCGTACAGCGTTCGTCAACAGCTCTTACTCACTTTGTTTACTTTATTGCTTTTCTCTTCCACACACACACACACACACACACCTCTAGCTACCTGCGCGATAATTTGAAATTCATTGATCCATCACGTATTTGCGCCTACGGCTGGGGTTACGGCGGCTACGCGGCCACCATGACGCTCATCGATGACTCGCACCAAGTGCTGCAATGCTCTGTGGCCGTCAACCCGATTGTCTCCTTTGGCTATCACTGTAAGTTTGCAATTTACAGTTATTTTCGCTACACTTGACTCGCAAACCACACGTCTGTTGTGTGCTCATATTAACAATGTATTGTTCTGTTTCCTTGTAATCGTTGCAGACTCATTTTTCACCGAACGTTACATACCGCTGAAGGGCGACTACTTGCGCGCTCTGCAGGAGGCTGACTTGACCATGAAGGCTGGCAATATTAAGGGTCGCAATTTGATGTTGATACATGGCACGGCGGACAGATTAGTGCATCAGGAGCACACGTTGATGTTGGTGCGAGCGCTGGTGGATCAGCAAGTCAAGTTCAGACATCAGGTGAGTGATTTACACACGTACGAGTATGTGTGTGGTGTAAGGCTTTGATAGTTAGTATGGTTACCAAATATAAACTTACGTTCAAAAAGTCAATGCCCTTAAAATCGACTGCTTTATAATTGACATTCTAATGATTCACAGAAACCTATACGGATTTGACTATTACCTTGTAACAAAATATGTAGCTTGTCAAGAAGAAAATGCTTTATCTTCCGACCTAAAAGTTAAAATATCCTTATTTCGTCATCGCCTAATATATAGATATTTAAGGATTTCATATCTATCATATATACAAAATATCAGGTTTTCACATTCTCCCTTAAACTAGAGAAGTTTAGACAGCAGCGTACTGAAAAATGTTTAGCAGTCTTCATTTTCATTTGAAATTTATTTAATAAGGTATATATATATATATAAATTTGAATTGCTTGAGTTAAATATTTTTTGAAATATTAGCTCATGTTCACACGTTATCCGTAAAACCCGAAAAAATCTCATCGCAGTGTTTATGAAACTCTGAAGTTAGTCTTACAGCTTACAGTAAGCTCAATTTTTACGAGCGTAGCTATATCCCTCTCCCTCTCGATCTTTATGTGTAGCTTTCTTTTTTTCTCTCTCTCTGTCTTAAACTTTCCTTTTTCTTTATCACCTTATCTTCCCAATATTACACTCTTTCAACCTTCCAAAATTTTTCTCTTTAAGTTGAGTTTTCTATATCTCAGATAAATGTAAAGTTCTGACAACTTCAATTTTTATTAACGCGGAACAATTTCCTTTTTTTTCAATTTCATAACTGTACTTATATATCAGCATTTTATTGTGAATGAGCGCTACATGTCTTCGCAACTTGTTTGCTTCATATATTTGCAGGTCTATCCCGATGAGGATCACGCGATGACGAAATCACTTAGTCACGTCTACAAAACCATGGAATGGTATTTCGATGAATGCTTCGGCCCCAATGATGACAGCGAATGGGATCCGACGGGATTGTTTGTGTTCAAACAATAATTAATCATTCACAGTGGTGAAGGGATTTATTTGTAGAAGCAGGTGCTAAGTAGTTGCATAAATTAGTGTGATTAGAGATTCTATAGGAAGCACAAGAAAAAATTGAAGCAATTAAGAAGAACACTGCGTTGCAACAACAAAGTTCATATGCATGTAGTTGAGCGTTAATGGAGTACGTTGAGTATATACGAGTATGTGCACATATGTCGGTGAGCAAAACTAAGAGAGTTTGAGTACTCGTTTATTGGCCTGTAGATTTTGTGCGAAGCGGCACAGGGGGCGCGATCTTAATTAGGAAAATTCAAGTTTTTTGCATTTTTGAACGAAAATAATATTACAAATTAGTTTTTATATTTGAAGGCTTAGCAGAAACATTAAGCTAAATAACAAAGTTGATTAGAAACAAAGCTTAAATTATATAAAACTATATGTAAGTGGGTATGTGCAGCAAAAATTATTTTAAAAAAAAAAAATTATTTAATTAATTAATTGAAAGCTATCAGAAAGCAAACGAATTGTGAAGGAGTAAACGCAAACTGCAAGTAACGTGATTAATTTGTGCGACTGATTATTGAAATATGCGTAAACACATTTAATGAGCATAAAATGAACATTTTAATTAACAAATTCAAATTGAAATAAAGCATATGAAAAAAAGAATACAAAATAAAATTTAAAATAATAAAAAATAAAATACAATATTAATAAAAAATTATGATATTAAATTATGATAATGATTAAAAGAAAAATTAATTAAACTAAGTGATTGCATTGAGTTAACGGTTTATCATATTTAAAGTAAATTATATATAAATTAAATGTATTTACTAATTTTTTATACTCGTTCAAGCGCGCGTGCCACAGTCGATTACACGTGCGCGCAACAAAACATATGAATATAATATTTATTTACGGTATTTTTGCATAAACAAACATGCATAAAATTTATATAAAAAAAAGAATTATATATATATATATGTATGTATATTTCATATTTATTTAATGTTAATATGTTGCGATATTTATTAAGTGTATCATTAAATGTACTGTTATGTGTATTTATAGGTGTACATATGTATATGTGAAACGCTCAAGGCAGCGCACTTGTATATGTGTGTGTATATGTTAATTCATTATACCGTTATTCACAAAATGAATTAAAATTGACTGAATGTTATTTTTTATATGTATATGTATGTATGTATGTAATTAATTGAAATGCATAAGTTTATGAAAATTAACATTTTTTAGCTTTAAAGCGTGTATTATGATTAAATTATGTATATTAACTAAGTTCGAGCAGTCAGATAATATATATGTTAAATTCGGTGTTAAATATGTGGATATGTGCATTAAACTTTTTCAACACGATTGCCGTGAATTATATGGCATTATATGCGCGTACTCGTGTATATAGTTGCTAAACTGCGTAAAAAAAAATCTTTTTCATTTTATACTCTGAAAAGTTGGTTGGTAGACACTTCAAAAAAATTCTTTCCAAGTATGAGCACTTAATAGTAATAGGAAGATACTCCGCTACTCAGTTTCCTATTTTTTCATGGTGAAGTACCAACAAATTTTTGAAAACAAATTTTAAAAAAAATCGATTTTTTTGACCCACACTAATAAGTATAAAAGTATGTTGAGTATTATACAAAATTTATAATCCTTATATATGATTTTTTTGTATTTGGAAAAAAGTAAATATTTTTAAATCACGTTCAACATAATATTTAAGTAAGTCATACAAATTTGTATTTATTTGTAATATTTTGTTCATTTTTTATGTACATATAATTTGTAAAAAAATATTTTAATAGTACATAGTAAAATTGGTTAACAGACTACAAGCTTACAACTATTATGTTAACAACATACTGCAGCTTTTTACATACTGTGGAGAAGCCGGTAATTTTTACAGCTATGTTATTTATCTTCTAATAAAAAGAATAATCTTAGTTCGAATATATTTTGTTTTTGTTACAAATATTTCAAGCAGTCCATGGTCGCCCAGCAGCTTTACAAGACTTGTATCCGTAAGTCTAGCTCTCAAAAGAATGTGAGGTTACAATAACAGCGGCCTTACATGGTATTAGGAGAGATCCTTCAGTTAGCTAATACAACCATTAAAATAAACTATATCAGAGCAGATCAGAATTTCTTCGCTCCTTACCTTACTTAATTTGTATCCGCTAGAAATAACTTGATTCAAAAATATTATTTTTTTTTTACTCTGGATAAGCACTCTTCTTAAATTTTCGCGGCAGTAACTCTCATTGACAGACTATGAACAAAAACAAATTAATGAAGGAACATTCAGTCGATTTTTGGTTTATAGAAAATATTTTTAGCAAAAATATTTCGAATATACTTCACACCATTAATCTAGGTGGAAAATTATAGAGAGTTATAATATGCCGTGACGTTTGATGATTTATATCAATCAGTTCCTGTATCGCTGGATGCTACATTTCGTTCTAAAATAAATAACATCGCAAATTATGAATTAGCTATCAACACAAAAATCATAAATATTGCAACAAATTCAGGCTAGAATTTTCAATACTAATTCATCAATGCATTCCACCAGCACTTTTTTGTTTTAAGTTTAAAATTTTTTATATTTTTCCCAACAGTGAAGCTGTCTAAAATCGCTATTCCATAAAAACAAATTTGTTTCATCAAGAGAAAAGTATTTTTGTGAAAATTATAATCGATTCTCCTAAATGTAGGCAATGATTTATTTTTAGTTAACTGCTAATTCATACACTATAAATTACATATTGCCTACATTTAGGCGCTTATTCAATAAAATAAAGCAGAAGTTTACAATTTTATTATTTCAAAACTACCATTCTGCACTAAGAAGTATGAAAAAAAATACAAATTTTTAGAAAATAATTTAATTTCAATAAAAAAACGCATTACTGTTTGGAAGTTCCAAGTATTCTTATGAAATATAGCACTCGTAACAATAACAAAATAAAATAAAGTAAACTATAGGGTTACTTAAGCTGTAATAATCAACTAATTATGATGCATTGTAGCAAAATAAAATGCTTCCATTTTCAACAAAGAAGAACACTACAAAAGAGAAGACATAAATATAACAAAAAATAAATGCAAATAAAAGAGAAAAACGGAGGAGAACATAAAACTAAAACTTTACAAAACGAAAGATGAAAATTACAAAAAATTACTTAATGTAGGCATAAAAGACCCAAAACAAAAGAAAATATAAAATATTAAGAAATTAAAAACAGAAAAGACATAAAAACAAAAGTGGAGCAAAAATCTACATATATGAAATAGTGAAAGCTTTAAGTGTGTATTTGTGTAATGCCGCAAAAACAAATCTAATACATATGAATATGTGAAATTTTAAATAAAAAAAAAACTTTTAAAAAAATTACAACATTAATTTAAAAAATTATATTTAGTGAGTAAAAAGTAAGGAGATAATTGATATGAAACAAAAAGAGAAATAGAAAAAGCAAATCGAACTGCTATTTGAAATATTACTAGAAAAAAAATTTAATTAATTATTTTGAACGCAGACACACACACATGCACATACAAAACCAGCAACATAAACAGTTTATACTAAAAAATACAAGCAAATATACTTACACACAAATTCATTGATTAATCCCCAGACATCCTTAAGGAGTTAAAGCAACAATTATGCTACGCAAATAAAATTAAAAATAAAATATATTCACATTTAATTGTGGCCGCACAATAAATAATAAAGGAAGAAGAACGAATTTATTTGGTTTCAGAATTCATTTCTGCCGTCCCCTGACACACCAAGTGCATATGCAAATGTACAATTCCAGCACAAACTGCACACACATACACACATTTAAAGGCTTACGACATTTTGTTGAAGCAAAAACCCTAAATTTGAATATTTGACATAACAACAGAGCTACAAACACTTAGGCTAAGCACATAGTGCCGGCTGTGGTGAAGCACTGATTGAAGTAAAAAAATATAATTAAACATAAAAGTTTATAGAGCTTCGGTCACAAAAATTGTTTGCCATATACACTATGTGCTTAGCCTTACTCGCCAAAGCCTTGTATAACAATTTTCATTTTATATTCATAAAAATGAATTTTCTTTAAATATTTGCGATTGAAAAAAATATTTGAAATTAAGTTCATCGCAAATACTTACACAATTACATATTGTGAATAAAATGTGGAATTACATGTATAACTGTTTAGACGTATACATATTAGTTGCTAAATGTATGCGTGTATATTACATAATCGAATGAAGGTGTATAACTAAGCATAATGCAAATGTTAAAGTAAGCAAATAATTTTAAGAGACCAAAACACTGTAAAAGGCGAATAAAATCACCAAACAGACAACGCATTAAAACAATAATAAAAACTAAAGAAAACTGGAAAATAAAAATAAAATGTTGAACACAAAAGTTACGACTTTTATTTCTATAATGTTCTGGATAGCGAATCAGTCGAATTAGAACATGGATTTCTTAAATATTCTAATATTTTTTTAGTTGTTTTCAAACAGAAATAATTATGCACAAGCTTAATTGTAGGCAACATTTTACTAATGTGTTTTCAAACCACAACGTTGCCTACATCTAGGCGGATGCTTTTCTAGCAGGATAATCAGAACTTATTAAACATATTGCTTTACGAAATTTGAACGAAAGAAAGGCAAGTTGAAGAGGAATATAGTACAGATATAATATAATTGCCATATACGTAAGAAGTATTACTTAATAATCCTTCCAAAAATGCGATATTAGCTTCTATTTACAAGATTTCTTCTGGACTAACTAGATTTCGATCGAGTCTTCCACAAATAAATTAAATCACTAAATGAGGGTAATTCCTTAAGTTTTCCATTCCAGAGTGGTCTTCTCTTTAATTGCTACCTAACCACCAGTTAGTGTCGTTCTGAGGCTGGAAGTCCCATATATATATTCGGCGAACGTATTTTGAACAGGGTGGTTGCAAAATTTTTCAGAACTTCAATTGTCGGTTGGTCCATAATTTTATCCTAAAATTGTTTTCTTGGTTTCGAAACTCACATATTCAGTTACTTACATTGTAAAGTATGAGAGGTTAAGGCATTTATTTCTGATTTACCCAGCCTACTCAAGTAAAGCGCCGCTATCCAGTGTTAGTATGAATTAGAAGAGCGGAGCTGCAACTATTTCCATTCTATGAATACTGAGGCTAAAGTAGACATCTCGTCAGCTCGTCAGTTCTACATATACTAGCGTTTCATACTAGTGTTATCACGAGGTGAATCGATGCAGTTGCCGACAGGCTTAGGTATTCCTGAACAAGTCTTGAACGCACGGTTAGAGAGCATAGGTCTCCTAAGGCTAATTTAATGGTAAAAAAACATGGCTTGAAAAATGTAGTCGTAGTCAGGACACCTCGAACTAATGTTCTTGAGAATAGGTGTCACCAACCGTCCTCCTAAGCGTTGACCAATCAGTATAGAAACTCACAGCTCCTCTCCTCCAGCGGGTACTACCCGCCCACATTTCATTCCCAGGTATGTAAGCAGAACAAATACCTATGCTTCGCGAGGTATCAAATGATACAAATAAGTTGTTCGACAGTATCTGGAAACAAGTCAACATTTTTGCTGGATATCTTGGAAAACTATAAGTATCTTATAAAACCATTAGAAAGCTCTCTTTTATTTATATTTTGACATGAAAATGGCTTTCATAGATATTATTTGATTAAAATTTTTATTTTGCGACAAAAAACCACATTTTAGTTTCAATTATTACACAAATTCACCATTGGATTTCTTTTATAATGTGTTACCAATTATCCTTATCTTATTTGACGCATCTTTTGTGCAACTTTAGCAAGTTAATTAAACTGCATTTCACAAATTTAATTGCAAACACACACTGCAGTGCGATAAAATTGAAGCGAAATTCAATTAAGAGTAAACAACAAGAGTTGCGCTGCAAGGACACCAACACTTAGTCGCACTAAATTCGACTAATGGAGAAGCTTTTGTGAAAGCGCTGGCAATTGTTACGTGAAATGAAAAGAAATGAAATGGAATGAGTGTTGACCAGCGAGTTAACTAAAACAACGGAATAACACATGTCGCGTTATTTCGTGGTTGAAGACAAAGTGCCGTTGCATGTGGAGAATTCCATTGTTTGTTGTTGTATAAACTAGCGACGAAATTCGAATTGCATAGAGTGGTATGCTTTTAGTTACTTTTGAGCGTTAAAAGAAATTAAAAAAAAGAAAGAGAGAAAAGTGTGTTTGTGATTGTGATTGTAGAAGTTTTCCATTAGAAATATTTTGCTTGAATTCCTGGTCATCTAAGAGCTTTGGAAACTTTTCATATTTATTCAAAGATGTGTGCGAACTTTGAGAGCAACATTTAATTATAATTATAGTTTTTAATACTGCGGCCTTGATTTTATCACAATACTTAGGCTTTTGATAGTTTGACCAATTGGTACGGTTTTTGGTTGGCATCTTCGTCTTGTCTCTAAATATAATTTGACTACTCGTCACAAGAAAGTAACAATAGACTTTCAAAGCTTTCGCTAAGCTTTTATCATTTCCATTCAAATAAGTGATTAATATAAGTGTTTTTTATACAATGAGTTTTTATGGAATTAAAATCTAACTCATATATAATATTTATAAAAGAAATCTCCGAAAACCCTTTTCAGTGTATTCGTTGTCGGTCATTTAGATAAAACATCTCTTACGTCCTGGTTTTTGAGAACTTTTTGTTACTAGAATAAGGTAGTTTGCAATGAAGTTTGTAACACACAAAAAGAAACGTCGGAAACCCTTTAAAATATATAAGTGTTATGACCTGAGTCGATTTAGTCATGTCGCACTATCAGTCAGTCTGTATACACGCAAAGTCTCCCAGTTTTTGCGATTTTGATCTGAAGCTGTTCATTTGTTGGAACCGCCGATATCCAGCCACTATATCATATTGTTGCCATACAAACTGAACTATCAGAATTAAGTT